GGATGAGCGTGCTTATTCTTGCAAAAGTAGAATCTGCCGCGTGGCCTTACCACAGTAAAATAAATATGGTCATAACTACGCTCATTGCAGTAAAATTTTATTATATTCTTATATACCATTGCATATTTACTTAACGTAGTCTTTTATTAGGAATATACAATCTCTTAACAGACGTTAAATAATTAATAAGTTAAATATATTTCAATATATTTTTAAGTCTTTATCGTTTTAATCAATTAATTGTTTACTACTATTAATGATATCGAGCGCTAAACGGCTAAGCCCAAAGATAAATTAAATTACGGTACGGACAAAGCCTAAAACTGTTTGAAAAATGAATAACGTACGAAAATACTTTTCCTTTTGACTATAAACTCCATTTTCTTAGTAGCAGCAGAGAGAGTAATTAACCTCCGTGCGAAACTTGCCGATTAACCGCTGCATTAAACCTGAATTAAAGCCTCTGTAATTAAGGAATGTTTCTTTACATAAATTGCAAGCTGAATTGCTTAGTTAAACGAAACTTAGATATATCAATTTGCCTTTATAATTGTCTTTTTGATGCTACAAGTTTTAGGTTAACATCAGTCAAGGCTCGGCTGTCATACCTATTACGAGAGCATTTGCGACTAAAGAACTGTTTTGTGTTTTGTATCATTTGAGTGATGTTCATGGCTGTTTATTTGTCAACATTCCCGTTCATATTATTGAGACTTTTCAATTTATGCATTTGCACGAATTACTCTTATACATTCACTACACAAACTCAACTTCCACAACATTGTTAAGGAAGTTCAGTTAAATGAATGAACGGATTTTAAAGAAAATGAATGATACACAATGCGCTTATATATTATGTTCTATAAATCACTCATAAAATTTAATCACTACTATACAGAACCATCAACTTTCTGTGATGATGACGTACTCATATGGTTCCATTTTGTGAACATTAATCAAATTTTATTTAAATTATACATACATATAGATAGTATAAGATCTCCAATTTGGTATCATTACGGTATTACAGTACCAAGTTCAAAAATGATTTTGTCAACACCAAAGCATTAATATTACGACATTTTTTGGTCGTTTTTATATTTATTCGGTGAATATTTAAGATGAGTTCTTGCCATGGAACTAAGAACGTTGTGAGTATTATAGACTGATAGGTTTATGGCTAATTAAAAAGATGTTCGTGAATAATCGCATCTACCTCAATTTCTCACCAATCAATCCCTGGGTTGACATTCTCTCTCAAATGCCAAAAGGCATTAAGTTCGCCCTTTGTAATCCATGTGCAACAACCGAGGCTGCTGCGTGGCGCTACCACTAATAAATAAATAATAAATAAAGCTCGTCGATATTACTCGTATAGTCGTGGTGGCCATAATAATATTTCAAGGTACATCTCAGAAATTCAATTAGGAAATAACTGAGTACAGTAATACAGTTGAAATAGGCAAAGAGAAAACCCCAGTAAATCTAACCAAACGTACGATATTTGTCTATAGAATTGCTTTGTGGCTGTGCTGTGTTTCCGACATTTCCCAATGGATTGTAAAGGTAGAATTTGTTGGAACGATATCGAGTGAATCGATTTTGAAAATTTTGACCCAGACACGCTGTGTTGTTTTATTCAGGTTTCAATTTGGCTTTATTACATTTTTCTTGCAGATATAATTTCTTTTAGATGGGCTTTAATAAAATAAATGTTTTAGTTGACTTGCCACAATCCTTAGAGCCATCCATTGTGCTGCATTGGACAAGGCTTACTGTATTTTTAATGACGATTTGTGACGATTTAGTAATGGTACCTAAAATATGTAGCATATCCGATTGAACTTTTTTATTTGACTTGTTATATTACTGCATTTTTTAAGTGAAAGCGAGCAGGTTAGTTTAAAAGGTTAAGCTAGCACTAGCAGAGAATGCAAAATTAACCTTAGTGTGAAACTTGCCGACTAACCGCTGCATTAAACCTGAATTAAAGCCTCTCTAATTACGGAATATTGCTTTAGGTAAATTGAAAGCTGAATTGCTTAGTTAAATGAATCTTTGACATATAGTCTTCCTAAACATTCAAATAAAACTTCTATAGCTTACGTAATGTTAACGTTTTCGTAAAAGATATGACATAGTGTGCTGTGTCGTAGTAGACAATACAAAATGTTATTTGAGCTCGATCCGCATTATTTCAATGTTAATATCGACCGGTCGAGCCACCAAGGGCTTCTGACATCCCGCGCCAGCCACTCCAGCTAACAGCACTCCACGTAAGTATGCGAAAGTGTTTGAGCTGTAATGTGTAAGCGCTCACTGATTTGCTCAAATGTTCCGGCTTTTCCATCTTCCATTATAGTCCGGAATTCTGTGCTGATTCAGGTTTGCGCATTCTTGAGCTAACAGAGCAAGCATCTCACCTCATCGCCCGATCTTGGCAAACATCTTACGCCTCACTTCCGACGAATATGTTATATTTTTGATGCAACAGATTTCAAATATTAATATGGGCATAAGTGTTACGATTTACTACAGCTGTTTCTAACTTCTAGTATAGGCTGAAAACTACACACAATACTCGTAACTTAGAAAAATGATCATGCCTAAAACTCATCCATATATTTAAAAATATGCTTACAGCAAAAGAAGAACGATTAAGTATACAATATAATTCATAGTAATTAAATTTTACTTTGCTTCCAATTTGTCAATTCCTGTACATTATTTAAATCGACTAGTATCGGTTTGATTGCAAAATAATTTTCAACGATTGGTCGCAACATGGACGCAAAATACTTAAAAATAAGTGATTTTTACGGGTTTTTGTTTCGAATAGTTCGTGAATAGAGACTCAGAAAGGCATACTGTATTCCAGATAATGCTCTCGCGTGCATCGCTTTATGCGCACCACTCTTGTTTTTACTTGGTGCTGAACTTGACCTAGAAAACGTATACATAGCTGTATTTTCCAGCGATGTTTTAATTAAAGCCGAGCGTGCTTTTATGGCACAGTCTCGTTTCATTCAGTCTGTTTATTTTTTTTTATTTTTATTCAGAGCTCAATAAAAAGCGCGAATGGTTGATTTTTTGTTTTCGTAACCGTGCCATTGCTTGACCTTCGTCCAATGTTGTTGAAAACGGTGTTATAATAAGAAATTTATATTTGGGAATTGCCGTTTATATAAAAACCTTAGCCTTTAATGTTGGAAGGACCTGGTAGAGGAACAGAGATCAATGTAATCTTATTTCTTAGAAGATTTTATAAACCTTACAAGTTTCATAAATTCTTCAAAGAAATCGACAATATATATTATGAATTAAATCGTCAATATAACATCAGGGCAAACATGACAACTAAGTTCAAAATTAAATTAAATTTTAACTAAGGTTTTTATATGTCACCTCGCTTAACAGTAACGAGATCATGATCCCCTTTCCCTGACAATTACCTAGAAAAGCTGAAAGATAACTCAGAGGTTACCTAAAGTTCATATTTGAAGTCAAATATTTATAGGAAAAAGATTCTATCACTGCTACCTAAACCATCTATGAACAGTTATCAAGTGATCATTTTAAATTGTAGAATAAATGCCTGGAATGAATCGCAACTTTTATAGATAGATACGCCTTTAAACTGTTTGTATTCGCGTACCTAACGTTCGTTTTGATTCTGGTACCGGCATAAAATAAATTCACGTTATTATTTTACGTATTCATGTACCTTTTGAGTTGTAACAAAATTATTGAGGATCGATCTAGTTTAAGAATCGAATTGCAATCTCTTATGATGCTAGATTTATATAAATGACAAGTTACATGTGCGAGTTAACAACACATATTCAAAGGTCATAGTAGTGAAGCGAAGGATGAGATATACGGAAAATTTAAAATCAGCCCGCAGCTTAGTTAGATTTTATGAGATTCTGCAGAGGAAGTTTATAGGATTCCGTACCAAAAGGGTAAAACGGGGCCCTATTATTAAGACTCTGCTGTCCGTCTGTCTGTCTGTCGGAACGTAATAAATAATATCTAAGTGGAGCTCCTGGTTTTATAGATAATGGTACGGAACCGCACTAGGCCGGTTTTATTCTTTATCCTAAATCTATATCATAAATCCTATGTCCTTTTTAATGCCTTTTAGACATGTCTACAGAGTTTCATGATAATCGGTTCAGTAGTTTTGACGTGAAAGTGTAACAAACAAACTTACATTCACAATTATAATATTACTAGCTGCTGCCCGCGACTACGTAGAATAGGCTGAAGGCGTAACCTTTAGACAGAAAGACAGATATACATGAAATATGTAAATAAATTGTAGCCTATGTCTTATTGCGATATATTAAAATCCATTCAACAGTATTTGCGTGAAAGAGTAACAAACATCCATCCATATATACAAACTTTCGCCTTTATAATATTAGTAAGGATTCTGATACATATCGGTCGTTAATTTATATTTGTTTTGTTGACTAAATAAGCCTCCTATTTAATAATTATTTTCTTATTTCAGAGTTTGATGGCGATTATCAAGTTTGGCTACATGCTCGTATTCGTCACGTTGCTGCTAATGATATGGGCTTCGTTGGCGAGAGCATTAGAAGTAAGTTAAACCCATTGGAGTTATTTTAATGAATAAATAAACTGTTCAAAATATTCATTGTCGCGAAATATTTATCTGACTTATATAGTATTCGAAAATAAAATTACATTGTATATTTTAAATTACATTGTATATTTTACATTGTAAATTACATTGTATATTTAAACAGTATTTAGTGTAAACACGACAGTGGTCAATAAGGAATAAAGTTTAGAATGTCATTCGAACTGTTAAGAGCCAGTTATATGTGAGATTGGATCGATTCATTGGCACATATATGTAGATTTGTTTTATTTTAGACATTATGCAATTTTTAAACAGTAAACTGACGCCGACAAACCGACGCCGAAGGCTGGTGGAATGCTGCTTTACCCGTCTATTTATGTCTGAAAAAATGAAGAGAATATATCTGCCTCTCATAGCTCTGCTAATATGTTGCCGTCGGTCCAAGTGTTATTCCGGACCTCTTAAGGTATTTAAGCGTAGTGTGGATGAGTCGTACCGTTTCGTGTTTCACATGTAATGTTATTTGTGGTGATTGATCGGTCATTGTATCATTGTTGCTCCATTACTACGTCCTGATTGGATCTCATTAGCTAGTGCGAGCATAAGTTTGTGAGCCACAACCATTAATCTAACATTAACCCCTATGACTTCAGGTCTGAACTAACGATGTTTTGCTGTCTGTTTTTGATAACATTTTATCTAGCTGTCGTATGCGCTTACTAACAATATCTAATTCAGTGGGTTTTATACGCTTATACGGTTGTGGTCTAATTTGTGCAATATACTATGAACGTTTTAAAGTTCTCTAAGAATACTTTTAATTAATTCTGTTAGTTAAACCGCTTCAGTGTAAGCGTTTCTCCTTATGTTAGTTATGGATTATATATAAGTAAAAGTAATATAAGCTGACAGTGTGACGTAATCAAAGTAAAAGTAGTAAGTATCACTCTCTACAACACATATATATTCTGATTATTATTATTAGTATCTCTTTCATTAATGATTAATGTCCATAAGATATTTCCAGAATTTTTTGTGATTTGTTTCGTAAGATAAATGTATGACTAACTTTTTTGATTTACATATTACACATAAAGCTATCTTTAAAAAAACACTGCAACGTAAATAAAAAAAAATTAAAAAAAAAAGTGTACTTTTTATAACATTACTGATTCGTATTTTGATGGAAATCGACTTAACATTTTCAACACGTACTCTAGTTAAACTTTTTTTTTTGTTTGTTTTTTTTTTAATATAAACATTTCCCTTACTTTAGGATAACATTATCCTGTGTTGTAAGGATGTTTTAGAAACACACATTTCACGCTTACTAACACCCAAATGCGAAACAACTATCTGTGGGTCACACACATAGTTGTCCCGTGTGGGAATCGAACCCACGACCCCCGACACCCCTTCTTCCTATCTTAAAATTATATATTCTAATAATTATATATTTTTCGGCTTATAATTTGCCTGTATTTCTGTAGACTATACTTACATTGAAAATACCTCCAGTGCAGGTAAAGCACATACGTCCGTTTTACCGTAGACAGATTTGCCGCTACAGAACATATAACACATATCCACACAATTGACTGTGTTTTTAATAGAACATCCTTTTGTTAAGCTTATTATACGCCCTAGATATATCCCGTAACAAAGTGTTTCCCAGTTGGTTGTGATTAACTATTCAAAGTATTATTAATATAACTATTATTTAAAATTCTTTGATTAACTTTAAACGCAGCAGATCTTATTCACGGCGTTACGCCTTTCATCCCGAAAACATCGAATATAGTCAACGACTATAAACTCCGAATCTCCTTTTCTTCACCTTCAGATATAATGTTTTTGAATTGGAATAACGTTTTTCAAGCTATCCCCTTTAATGACACATTAAACAACAATGTCAAAAAATAAAGGCGGTCATGTATTATCGTAAATACCAGTTAACATCATGGATAATATTTGACATTGGTCAAAACATTTTTAAACAAAAAATCGTCACCAAAAGCTACAAATATCGGTAAGCTTCCGTTAATATTTTATTAAGAAGCAAACACTACTGTAATAATGATTTAGTAAAATATAGTTTAAATAAAAAAAATATTATTTTACACATTTATTTTTTACAAATGAGTACCTAATTACAAATAACATCTAAAAATAAATTAATCCTGCATTTATCATGGATTAGTGAATTTCCGCTCCAAAACCGGAGGTATTCTCTAGTGTCCACAAATTGACAGAGTAGATAACAAGTTAATGTGTAAGTTGGGTTATGAAATATATTTAATGTAAGTAGGTACATCACGTCGCGGCGTCTTGCAGAGAAGAAAGTTTACTATGAGTTTACACTCTATGAAACGTGCAATAAGTTTTCAAGTGTGCCATAATAATGCGATTTGTGGTCGAAGCTAGTTGAAGCTCCTGAATTTATGCACCTGAAATTATTGTCGCGAATGTACTGTATGATTTTTTTTAAAGTTAAACAAAGGTTTAAGCTAAGCCTTTTTTTTTGGTAACGTGGGGGATATGCCTACGCATACCAGTCCTTGGGTTATGTTAGACTCTCTCCGACTGAAACCCCCACAATGTTCCATCTAGGTCGCATATCGGCACATCCAAGAGAACGCTTTCGCACGCTTCCGCGACCCTGCCAGCTGCCTCAACAGATCCTCCTCGCGGGGAGCAACTCCCTTTTCCTCCAGATAAGGCACACTGGAATATCCAGCGTGCCATCCAACTCGGACCCTTTAGCAACGGTCAACGAACTCCCCCAAGTCGCTGGCCAGGGACCATGGGAACCAGCAGGGCCACTGCTAGCAAACAGCAGGCTTCCCAGCTCACAGCTGTGAACCTGGTCTATAGTTCCACCGCTCAACACGTCTCGGCCGCAGAGAGTAGGGAAATCCCCCGCATCCCCACCGCCGCTGCAAGCTTTAAAGGACCTTCAAAAGTGCAGCCCCGAGTAAGCTCAGCCTCTAAGTAGGCTGACTGAGCTTTTTTCCAATTTGTAGATGTTGAAAATAATTTACTATACCAACTGCACTTATGACCTAATCTTAGTGGCAACTAAGGCAACAATATAAATTTAAAATATAGTCTTACATCATTACTAACATTATGTAGCTTAAACGGAAATCATTGGTACGAGGCAGACATGGAAATACATCTCTTTCATCACACCCTAATAACTGTTCCTTTCAAGATTATTGCTTGTGAGACGGCAACCGCTTTTATTAACGAAGCTCGTACTGTACTCGACGTAATAAAACCTGTCTTGTAGGTAAATAATCACTGCCGTTTTACCGGCGTACGCTGCGTAACGTTATTACTGGAATTAAAAGACGTGCTCATACCGCCGCACGCTTGTTAATGTACATTGTTCCCTTTATAACATTCAGTAGGGTTGTCGACTAAGGCAAATTACAATCTATTTACTTGAAACTTCGAACAGTCAAGTAACATCAAGTTATAGCGAAATGGGTTTATAGTGAACCTAAGAGATTACCGCCCCTCATTGAGACCGCAGCATCTGAGGGGCCGTAGATGCGTTGACAATCGTTTAAAAGTGCACGCGGTTACCTCACACACTAGAGCGAACGCGAATATATAATACTTCGGGCTTCTGTGGGGCTAAAGCTACTTTCCCAGATGGGCCTGCCCATTCGTGTATTGTAGAAGCCGCTGCGTGGCCCTACCATAGTAAAAAAAAGGTTTGACAACGGAGCAAGTAGTTCAACTGTCGGTATGCGGTAATAATATGCATTTGCCACCCATACGTACTCACAAAAACAGAGGTGGTAACCACTGATAGTGTCAGAGTATCAAACAATAATAGCGGCTTAAACCGGTCTACGAGGCTCTGATACTCTTCCTATGGAGTAGTCTATTCGTGCAATCTTGTTGTAGGCTTTAGCCTACTGTTGTTTTATCCAAAATTATAGATATCAAAAAGTGTCAAGTCTAAATGATTCGATAGTGTAGCGATTACCGATTTTTTTCTGATCAATATGCAGCGATACCAGATAATTATTTTGTAGTTCTATTCGTGTCTATACCGAGACATGCAAGTCGTTTAGATGAAATTTAAGAAAGCTCCTTTCATCCTTACGCTAACTTATTTAGTCACACGCGTGGCAGGTGGTAAGTCTTGTCGCCGTTATTCCCATCAGGGAATGATTTTTGTACACAAGAATATTGCTATGGTTAACGGACTTGTTTGACTACAGTGGAGATACAAATATTAAAGTAACCAGTTAGATATATAAATATAACCATTGATTAAAAGATCCGAATCCCAATACCATTTCCAGTCAATTTATTTTGCAAACGGCAACCCTACGCCGAATAAGAAACCCAATAACACTTCATACTAGTACCCTCGAATATCCATCTACGTAACGATATAGCTGCGTAAATAGAAATTGGCAACGCATTTAACTGTTTTATTTCTTTACAAAATAGGTAATTTAATGTAAAGATAATGGAGAGACGAAGTAGCGATCCTTTTTGTTCTCCGAATATGATTCCGTTTGGAAATGGAAAACTATAATAACTGAACTAAAAGTTAATTTTTGTTAAAGACATTTTCACAGACCAGATTAGAAAATCAACGCTTACATTAAGTCTGAACACTACCATTGAATACGTATTTGAAAGTAAATAAAGAAACAAATACATTGTTTTTCAATTATAATTTATTTTTACTTGTAAACTTTTCTAGCGTGCGACCTTTTTAAAACGCACTTCCGGGTCCCGAAAAGCACTTCCTCTTTGTTTTATTATTCGTGTATATTGAACGAATTTATCTTTTAATACTATATCTTCTAATATTAAATAATAAATACATTAAAATGTAAATGAATATAGGTACATTTTAATTATTATATTAACATTGGCATATTTTTTCAATTAAAAGTGCTTGATTTCTCTTAATTGGGTAAAGTTATTAATATTACAGGCATCATTATCATAAATTAAATAATGATATTCGTTACATAAGTGTAAAACATTATATCAACAACGTCCATACCATATTAAAGGCATGTACCCATTTTAATATATTTACTTATTTTGACTCAGTTACTAAGCTATTGGCATCGGCACCTGGGGTCGTGGCTTCGATTCCACTAGTATGTGTGACCCATTATTTCAGACCCGAATGTTTATTCCCAAAGAGGTTCGATGATAGGCAGGCGGCGAGACATAAACTACCCAATACTAATAACCATATACGAGGTATAAGTTTAAAGAAGCTTACCCAAACTGTTCACGTAGGTCTCGTTACGGAAAGTGAAAAAAGAAAATCTATTATCTACGTATGACTGTATAAAAAAAAGAAGTTTCTGGTTTGAATACTCATTCAAAAAAATTTCAGACAACTTATCTGTTGTCACAAAAAATTCACATTTTATGTTTCATCTTGAGTGCAGATACAAGCTATTAAAATAAAATTAGTCCTATTACTGTTTTCAATCATGCCATTATGTTGTTTAGGCGAAACATTTTCAAAATATAAGTGTTCCTTGCGACTTTCCTGCGGCAACATACAGGCATACTAATACGTTAAGTACACGTGCCATTTGATCTCATTAGAGCGGAATTAATCTTTAAAAAGATATTAAAATTGTCTCTGAAATTTATATTTGGCAATGACCTCGTTCATGATCTATCGAAGTTAGTGCAGTGCAACTGTATCGGATATTTTGCTGGATATGCAAACGAACAGAAAAGATGACCAAAAAATTTAAAACTGCAAGTTCTAGGTAACGATCTATATTCGCACGAAGATAGGAAAAGGCAATTGTTTTGAAATCACAGACACTTATTTTTTTATTTATCGGCCAACGTGATGGTGAAAACATCTGCTTAAAATACACGTAGCGCCATCTAGTTAGGAAATGATAATCCAATATTTCTATTGTTTTACATCATACATGTAAAATATAATATTTTGATATGTTTCGGGCAATATTTTTTCAGTTGAAAAATAATCTGGTTTTTCACCCTGGTTAATCATTAATTTGTTGTTTATTGTCAAATTAATATAATTTGCCGTTTTAAGTGAACATTATACAAAGATGTAGACGAAAATAAAGTTCGAATACGTCGGGATTGAATAAGCTTTTAGGCTTAAAGCTTCATATAATTCCGCCTTAAGTGATGCGTGACCAAACAAATAAACAAACAGTTAAAAATTCCTAATAGATTTTGCAATTCGTTCAAATTATGAATATTAAAAATTTAAAAAAATAAACATAAACAACGTTAAATCTACTAACATCAAAACTTTAAACCAATATTGAGCATTAGCGATAAGTGATAATTACTGCCACATCCCATACATAAATGTAAATTTTATAACTAAACATTAAATTGAAGTACCTCTTAGTTTTAGTTTAGTATCAATTATGAAATGGAATTAAAATTTATTAGAAAATGTAATATTGATGAATATCGTAACTTTTAAAGTAAATAAAAGCAATTTCAACACAACCTTATGAAAATCGAATCTCCAAACAGGTGGTAAATAATTGCATTGTTTTTCAGTGTTATTACGTATATGCGTTCAAATATTTTATCCTATTGCGGCCACCAAACGTATTTATTTGAAAAGCGGGCACTTTATGTCTTGGCAGAGTCAAATAGCACCCCCTGCGACGTAATATATTTCCTGATGTCATATTCCTCTGTGAGATTGCTTGTTTTCCCTTTACGATTTTGAGGGCGCGGGATTTTAAAAAGTGTTGTATGGCACACAGACACTGCACGAAATAAATCCATACGAGTATTTTGGAAGCTGACACGAACCGACTTTTCCCATATTGTGCATATGTTATCAATCGGAGTTAATTTTGCACAATTTAAATACCACAACATTCTCGCAGCGGTTGCTATGTATACATAGAGGTTATATTTTGCAATGTTTACGGCATTATATATAAGTCTGGACTGGTTTTATGCGAAATACAGAGCCGGTGTTAAAATATTAGCGACAGGACTTTATGGCATAAGCAGCATTCCAACTGGAATGTATTTACATATTGTATAAGTAAAATATTTTGTACACTCATAAACTCACAGAGGTTTGTAGAACATAACTCATCACGAATAATGTATTTCTGCTTGCGATTCATACTATCGGATATCAATATTCACACGAGTTACTCGAACATTCTACACGAGATCATCGAACACTCAAACGAATTTACCATTATACCATATATTAGAATATACCATTAATTTACTTATAACATACTAAAAACACTATACTGATGTGGAATATAATACACTTGATAAAAATCCTTTAAAGATGTTTAATTTTAAATTAGTCTTCAGAATAATTGATGTGTAAGAAAAACTAATTTGCTTTTAGTAACTGTACAAACTAACCATCGTATTTGCAAAGCTTAAGTTGATTGCGACGTTTTTGTTGTGTTTGACGATGTTGATAACGAAGTTGATAATTCTTAGTGTTCTTTTGTTCTAGCTCCACGTGGACACCGGCCACCCGCCGTGTCTTTTCCAAGCGCTGTGCACTTGCTCGAAACCAGCCGGCGACTTAGGTATAGTGACGTGCAAGCACGTGCCAATTCTGCGGGTGCCCGCGGCGGTCAATAGTTCCAAGGTTTTCACATTGCAGCTGACAGGGAACAAGATCAGGGATTTGGAGCCGCAATTCTTCCAAACAACAGGTAACTCCACTGGATTATTTTATGTGAAAAGTTGCCACTTGATGTTAAGTGAATACCGCCCATGGACATCTGCTACACCCGAGGGTTGCAGATGCGACATCTGCTTCACCCGAGGGTTGCAGATGCGTTGACAACCTTTTGAAAATTGGTTATAACATATACAACAGAAAAATATTACATATTCGTCATTTACGTAGCACATAAAACATTGGTCGGACGCACCGAATGTCAACTGGAAACGTCCAATAATATCACGGTTATGTATGACTTTTGTAAAGTAAATGGCACGGGTTTAATATTTCATAAATCCATCGTGAGACTTTAATTTCTAATGATACGCGTATTTCCATTGAAGCCCTTTGCAAAAGGTTCGCAAAGTCAATACCTTAAGTGGATCTAATATTGACGTTCCACGTTCATTCGACGTGAGCCTTTAAATGGATTATTGTCGACTATTTTTATAAGCCCGCCGGCTGAAAGGTCGGTCCTGAATTGAACGGATTTGTAACGCTACCTGATAAAGAAGTTATATTACTATTTGAAAGTTACGAGGAAGAATATTCTGAAATAGAATAATAGAACAAACGAAAAAGTAAGGATTGTATATATTGTTGATAACGTAATCATATGTACGGTACCTTACGAACCTGTATACAGCGTGTCGTTACCATCGCGACAATAAATGAACACACGTCTAACGCTACTTGCCAATAATCGTAAAAAAATATTAACGTTAAACAAAATCCATAATTAAAAAAAAATATTTTTCAAACAAACTAATTGGGTAAAAACGAAACAAAATTTGTAACATCCTATACAACTCGCGCCACAGCGTCGTATTACAAGCCTCTCCTTCTAACAGTATGTTTTGTCTCTTAAATTCATTCAACCCATTCATATGCTTTGTGACCTTTACAAATGAACTTTACGTTACGCTTTTATAGGTAAGGCTTTCTAAAATTCTTTGTTTTGGAAAATTTAATAACTCTGTAAATATTGATGTTTAAAGAATTTAAATGTTTAATACAGCTTTAAAAAGTTATCCCCTATATGTGTGTTCATTTATTGTCGCGATGGTAACGACACGCTGTATATAATTTCATATGTAAAATTTGTAAATTGTTCATATCACTATCACCGCATATTAAGCAAAGTCCTTTCTTGCTTCTCTCTGTACGGGATAAACTCAAAACTACTGAATGGGTATTCATGCAGTTTCCACCGGTAGATGGAGTGATACAGGAGTCTATGTATTAAAAACTCATTAACTTTTTGTATAAATTGACTGATTAATGCCGGTGATTTTTTTTATTGTTTAAAAACATTACCCTTACTTAAGGATAACATAATCCTGTGTTGTAAGGACGTTTTACAAACATTAATTTCACGCGGACGAACACCCAGATGCGAAACAACTATCTGTGGGTCACACATATAGTTGTCCCGTATGGGGGGAACCTAGGACCCCCGACGCCGAAACCAATACCTTGGCAAGTGCGCTGTGGAAGATGTCGTAAATAAGCAATCGCTTGGATAAAATCGGCACAAAAAATTTTACCGTATTAAGAGCCAATGCCTTGGCAAGTGCGGTGATTGTTGAATATGTCGTAAATAAACAAGTGCTTGGATAAAATCGGCAAAAAAAAAAGTTACCGCATTAAGCTCTGCCACCAGGGGCTGGTTTCTAGTAACATAACAACAACGCTAACTGATCACATATAATACGTTGATCTTGTTAACTAAAACGTCCATTAGCTTACGAACAACACTCATGAACTATTCGGCAGTAATTTACGATCCGCTGCGGAACACTTTATGCCGCACCTACGCATACACGATGTAATAGGTCGATTCCCCGATCGATTCCAGGTCTGTACCGGCTGGCCATAAACCAGAACCCCCTGGAGAGCATACACGAGGAGGCGTTCTACGGCCTCGACAACACCCTTTGGGAGCTGGAGTTGAAACACGACAAATTGACGGCGGTGCCCAGTAGGGCGCTACGTTATCTACAGAAATTGAGGTTGCTGGACCTGACGGGTGAGTTTATTTATTTATTTGCCCATTTAATTTGGACTACAAACAAAATTGTACATACACAAAATTGGGTAAACATGAATTTAGACCAACGACTTACACATAATCTCAATTATTATTATTAGTTTTATTTTTTTTGTGAGAAATTGGCAAACGAGCTTGTGGTTCACCTGTTGTTAAGTTATAACTGCCGCCCATGGACATTTGCAAAGTGGCCCCGGCCACCTCACTCATCAGACAAAACGCAGAAGTGCAACACTTCTACCTTTCGCCGATCTTCTGTGAGGTCGTGGTTCTTACCCCGGACGGACCTGCACACTCGTGCAATAGTGAACACTGTTGCGTCGTCTTACCACAGTTATAGATAGACGTCATCCATTATTATTATTTATCTTTGTCTGTAACTAAGACATACAACTTAATTGTTTTGATGACTTTACCAAATAGAAATTTCACTCAAAAATTTTAAAATTACAATTTTAAAATTGTTTCGTTTGTCGGAGAACAAATCGATAGTGTTCTCTTTCATTGAAAGTTCTTGGTATAATCTGATCAAGAATCTATCCCTGACGTATTTTACATTTATTAAATTTCAATTTATTTATCTAGGTATTTTACATTTCAATGGAACTTGGGGAAGTTTTATATTTGAAATTGACTGAATTATATGTAATGATTTTTATTTCTTTGCCCTTTTTCGACCAGTAATGAATAATTTTGGTAAGTTATAAATTTATAAATTTAAAATGACATAATGGAAAAGAGGAAAAGCAAGGAACGTACACATATTAGTTTAAAATATTTTTTTAATAATGTTTTGTTGACCAAAATGTCTTGTATGTTGCAAGTTGGTTCTCCAAGCTCCTAGATTCGTATTAACATTAAGTTTTATCATTGCAAAGATTAAACTATTACGTATTACGAATTATATAAGTACTTGAGTGAATTATAAAATATTCTTCTCATATGAATCATGAGTAATGTATCTCTTTAATCTCCCTGTACGATATCACATTTATCAGGACATATGGTCTAATAATATTATTCCTATTATTATTCTTGCTTATTTGTTATTATTTTCTTTTATTGAGTTTGCCATCGATAGGCTAATATATAGATAGATAATAGAAGATACAATAATACCAATCTTTATTAAAAAAAACCGCCCAAGTGCGAGTCGGACTCGCGCACGAGAGGTTCCTTGCCATTATACGTAAAAACGGCAAAAAAATCATGTCTGTTTTATGGGAGCCCCACTAAAATACTTTTTATTGTTTTTTAGTGTTTGTTGTTATAGTGGCAACACAAATACATCATCTGTGAAATTTTCAACTGTCTAACTATACGCTATATAACGGTGGCAAAAGCCTGGTGACAGACGGATAGACAGACAGCGGAGTCTTAGTAATAGAACCCCGTTTTACCCTTTGTGTACGGAACCCTAAAAGCAAACACCTGAAACGGAAAGTTTTTTAAATAAAATTTGACACTTGCACTCGTCTCACTTGTACTAAAATCCATTGTTTACTACCTTTATGGAATATTTTTTAAAATGTTTCTTTTCCACAATAAACTAAAGTAGCCGCGATCAATATATTACACTATTCCCTAAGGTACCATTTGCATAGACATAAATTTCCATTCAAATTGCCTGCGTAACTTAATCCAGGGTATTTATTACTGCCATTACGAACAGCATACCTGTCCTCAAGACAAATTAATTAACTTCGTGCCTAGTACTATAATTGAGCCGGCGTTGTTGAGAGATATAATAAATGATCGCCCCTCTAAACATTTATCTTCGTGTAAATGCTTTGAAGCAAGCCATTATGATAAGCTATTAACAAAATAAAACCTATCCCAACATTTAAGTTAATATTTATCATATGCAATACTTGTCATAATAGAAATGAAAATGTTTTATTGCCGATACTAATCTGGCAGGTCTAGTTTTGTGAAGCGATATGATAATTTTTGACGTTCAATAAGAGCTTTAAATAAGCCTATATAGAATGTATATGAAATAAGCCTATAATGACTTTGCCTTGAAACGTAAAGAGTAATTAAAAACGAAGAATACAATCACTACATAGTATAAAACAAAGTCGTCCTGCCCGTCTGTCTTTCCCTATATTGTATGCGTAGATCTTTAAAACTACGCAACGGATCTTGATGCAGTTTTTATACTAGATAGAGTGATATAAGAGGAAGGTTTATGTTTATAATACATTGTGTTTAATACCCGTTTAAAATGTTTATAATACCCGTGCGAAGCCGGGGCGGGTTGCTAGTACAAAATAAGCGGAAAAATATTATATGAAAGGAAAGGACTAGGAAAGACAACTACAACGACACTAGAGATACAAACAGATATGTGCGTATACTAAATGACATATCTCATTGGATTCCAGGCAACGAGATAACAGATATATCTGGTGACAACTGGAGGGGCCTCGAGAACACACTGCACACTTTGGTGCTGGCCGATAATTCGATTTCAACATTGCCACTAGATGCCTTCTCCGGTCTACCTATGCTGGAGGTTTTGGATCTGCATGGTAACCACTTAGCTGTTATCGACAGCGGAGTGTTCAGAGATGGGATGAATAGACTGAATAAGGTAATTAATTATATTTACTACAAATCAAATTAAGCCGCGATGTTTCTGGATTTACATTTCATCATCATCATCATCATTTCAGTCTGTTTGAGTCCACTGCTGAACATAGGCCTCCCCCACAGACTGCCATGAAGCACGATCCTGAGCCACCTGCATCCATCGACTTCCCGCACATTTGCACAGGTCGTCACTCCATCTAGTGGGGGGTCGTCCTACACTGCGATGGCCAGTACGAGGCTGCCACTCGAGAACCTTTCTTCCCTTCTTTATAAGCTTTATATGCTGGGAAATGTAAATCTTATACAGAAGATTTACATTTCCCAGCATATAAAGCTTATAAGCCCTATAATTTGTATTTAATTTATTTATCTAATAGCCCAAACCTTTATTATATTGCAAATATTTTTTATCGATCAAAAAAGAATTGTTTCTCGAATGTTGTTTTGATTTTTTTTATTTATACATTACTAATTTACTTTCTCCCCATCAAGTACATGATTCTAATTGATACTACTTTTCTTGAATTTCAGCTACTATTGAGTGACAACCAACTGTCGTATATTCCATATGAAGAGTTGGCGCCACTCCGCCAGCTAAGGTATCTGGACCTTTCCAACAATGTGATCAAGCAAGTGCCTCCGAACCACGATCTGAACGGAGTCACATTGTCCTTAGACACACTGAAGTAAGATTAAATCACATTAATTATAATTTACTTTTAGAAGGCCTTATCAATAGCTTCCTTTTTAAGGAAATTGATCCTGTGAAAGTAAATTTCGATGATGACGAATTAGGTTTAAACAATATTTGAATTGTATGTCTATCCCGTCAGTATTGGTGTTAACTTTTAATCTTTTTCTTTATTTTTCAGGTTAGATCACAATCTCATTGGCACGATGATGCCTGGGTCCTTCAAATATTTCAATGTTTTGAACGCTACATCCTTGAACGGCAATCCCATATTCTCTTTGCGAGTAAGTACATATTTTAAAAAACAAAACATCTATTGCTGCATATTGAAACATTACAATTATAATTGAGGAAATACTTCCCTTAAGTCTTCTCTTACAAGTGACATACTAATTATTTTAAGAAATTATTAGAGAACCAATAGATCTAGAGTACCATCAAATAGTATATTATGAGATATATCTGAAGATATATCTTACAATACCCAGGTTTTAAAAGTGGAATGTAAAGAACAAAATGATCTGCTCGTGCCTAGTGTCACTTTGCTCAAATCTCATCAAAATCAGAGATACCCTTTTTTTCATTAATAACTAGTAAGTAAAGGGTGATGCTGCGAATGTTGTACACAAAGTGTGTTACACTATTAGATAGTTGTACACTATTAGACACTATACAAATTTTGGCACATTTTTCCAGGAGGATGCATTTAGAAACGCCAAGATCAAGTCACTTTCACTTCGCGACTGCAGCATTTCGGATCTATCGCCAGCTTCCTTTGCGGGTCTCGAGAATAGTTTGCAGAGCTTGGACCTGTCCGAGAATAACTTAACGATGCTCTCAAAGTTCATGTTGAACAAATTGGACTCGTTGAGGCTACTCAATCTGCGCGAGAATAAGGTAATTGGCAATGATGTTTAATTATATAAATGACATATATAAGTGAATGTGACAGATGATATAGAACGTACGATACGGAAAGATATAGTAGTCTATAGAATTGCAATCTAATTACACCAATTGGTGTAATTTGAGTGCCTCATCTTCGGTGCGCTAGTGTCGTCATATCAGGTAAATTGTAGAATTGTGGAAAGTGTATTTCTATATGATGTCATTGGTAATTGGTAGTTAAATACCGCCCAAGCCAATAAATGTTCTTTCTATTATTCCACATACTGGCTTATCAATTTTTTTTACATTTCAGGTGGACACCAACTTATTGACAACTAATAATCCATCGGAATTCACACCAACATCTTTTAGCAATTTTCAATATAAATTATTCTTCTTGGACATAAGTGGTTCATCGTCGTTAGAAACCAGCTTGCAGGATATAAGGAAGTACGTTATTTACTTTCATTTATATAGTATTATTATACTAGTTTTCGCCGTTTTAGATATAAAGTCTCGTCCATAAACCGAATTCATCATCGAACCGCATATCTTATAGAACAAATAACAGAGCTAAGATAATACGTGCCCACTCAAGCAATTTTAAGTGGCTTAGGCAATTAAACACTTTCTTTGGATGGATGGAAATATTAATTGTTTTATTACGTAATTCGCGATATTTTATACATATATTTTTAATAAATGGTTTAGCAATTTCTTTTTAAGTATGCAAAATTATTCCAATAATTCAGACAACACTCTCAATACAATCAGTACTATAACTGATTGTGGCATTATTGTTCTTTTCCATTGTAGAATGAGATCACTAAGGTACCTCGCCGTAAGTAAACTGATAAGAAGAAGTATAAGCGCCGAAGATTTTCTCGAATTTGGCGTAGAGCTTGAAGACTTAAAAATATACGGAAGCACCATAAACAAAATAGAAGCCAGTGCATTTCAATACGTGAGGACGATAAAGACGTTGGATCTGTCGGAAAATAATATTGACTATATAGATCCTTTTGCTTTTGCTGAGGTAACAACATTTTTATTATTTTCACTCTCTTATAAAATATCATACTCTACAGTATCAATCAAGGAATTGATCAAAATTACAAGTATTGTTTACGAAAAGTTATTTATAAATTGCCAATAAAAACTACAAAAAAAAATCATTTCATTTAATAACAACAAAAGTTCTTCTTATTTTTTTTTTATGCGAAAAGTTGTCAAACGAGCAGACGGTTCACCTGATGTTAAGTGAATACCGCCGCCCATGGACATCTGCCACACCCGAGGGTTACAGATGCGTTGACAAAATTTTGAAAATTGGGCTCCGGCTACCTCACACACCAGACGAAACGCGAAAGTATTTGTCATACTTCCACTTTATGCTGGTCTTTTGAGAGGTCGTGGTACTTACCTGGACGAGCCTGCCCATTCGTGCAACAGCCGAGGCTGCTGCGTGGCCCTACCATCGTCGGCCCTATCAACTTAAACCGCAACTCGTCATAATACCTATGAGAATGTAAATTTGTTTAAACTTGTTCTATATTAATTGTTTTTAAATGTTGCTGATTTCAGTTGCACAGTTTGACAACGCTTAAAATGGCGAATGGTTTGGACGACTCAGTTAAAATATTACCATTTGAACCCTTAAAAGCCCTTATAGAGTTGCAATATTTAGATTTGAGCAACAATAGGATAAAGAACGTCCCCGATACATCTTTCCACTTCTTATACAAACTGAAGATATTGAATCTGCAAGATAACGCCATAGACCATTTCTCGAAAGGAACTTTACAGGTTCGTCAATTTGTATGTTGCAATCTGACTATTAAACCTATTAAAACAATTTTGAATATAATGTTTCATGTGTTTTTATTTTAGGGAGATATACATAGATATCTAGAGAGTGTTTGTTTGTCCCTAAATCAAATGACCCAGATAGCACAACATACGTTTGTGGACTTGAGAGAGCTTCAGGAGGTTTTGATCGAAGATAACCTAATTGAAAGTATTCAAAGACGATCTTTCACTAGTTTAGATAATTTAAAAGTTATCAAACTCAGGGGAAACAGACTCATCGATATATCCGAGGAAGCCTTTCAGAATTTGCCTGCCTTGAAAGAGTAAGGGCTTTCATATATTGTACAAGCTACCAATTTATTCCCATAGTGATTTATTTATGTACAAAACTTTTGCTCTTTGGGAAATATTACTATATCTTAACCAATTATAAGCACAGTTATGAACTTCAAGTTAAATGACGACTGGGTGAAACTCAACTGGGTCAACGGTCGTTGCTAAACTATTGACTTCGACGTCGGGGCTCATGGGTTCAATTCTCACACGGAGCTAGTGTTTTTGTGAACCACAGGTATTTTTTCTGGATCTGGGTGATTATTTCCCTAGATGGGTTGACTTCAGACAGGCGGCCGGAGGGAAAAACGTATTGTGCCGACCCGAACTAGGTAGAAAAAGAGCAGGAGGATTATCATTAACATTTAGTTAATCATCATCAAATATAGTCGAAAAGTGGGTTCAAGGAGTCAATCCTCTTATAGCATTCCGGCGCCAGGACATCCATTTGAACATTTACAGGATGAAAGCGGGGTACAAATACGGGTTATAAATGTTAACTAAATAACATGCTTTAGAAAACGTTAGGTATTCCTATTCAGCGAGGAAATACCGCGCTACATTTTTTGGATGAATTATTAGTATTTGTAAAAAATATATTTATTGATCCTGAGTCGTCATAGTTTGCAAATGATAAACTGGTAAAAATTATAAACTTAAAATTCCAGGTTGGATGTATCGTTTAATCGTCTAGAAACTTTCAAATTTTCCATTTTCGATCAAGTGGGCTCAGCGACTGCATTGAGAGTAAACGCTTCCTACAACCGTATCACTTCACTAACAGACTCCAACGCGCCAACATTCTTTTCATCGAATTTTTATCCACCACCGAAACCCCAAAGTAAGTTATATTTTTATCATAAAACTTGGTAATCAAAATTTTTTCAATTTAATCATAACATTCCAAAAGAAACTCATATTTAACTGCTACTTAATTGCTGCACTGTTAATCGTAGCATATATTTCTTTAACTTTCTTAATATTCTTTAGTTTTTAGCTTATGTAGTCAATAACAACTGGTTTCAATAATCTATCTACAGATAGATTTGGTTACTAGCGATAGGTATTTGACATTAGCTCCATAATACTTACGTCAAAATTCTATCTCCGTTAACCGAATCTAGATGTTGATAGAATATTGAAACCGGCTGAAGCAGAGCAAAGGTTATGTTTAAAAATATAATATGTAACTTAACTATTATAGTAGTTATCTGTCTTTTCTTTTCTTTCTGCATATATTTTAAAATTATGTCCTTTTTATGATATTAAAAAACTTCATAAATTGTTTTTGCGTATTTTTATTTGGTAATGAACTATGCTTTAATTAATTTATATTATTCAATGTCAACTACTGACAATTTTTCCCTATTAATTTAATACATTTCTATTCATTTTAAATAATTTATCCTATGTTTTTTTTATTTTGCATCATATGAAGGCTTGATTTCTGAGGATGCGATTCCTCTGCAACAAGGTGAATCAACTTCATGTTCTTATGCTTCCATCAATAATGTCATTTACTCAGTTTTTAAAGAACTTTATTTGTATGACAGTTAAACTACAACAAATTTTTTTACAGGTCTTGGAACAGTTTCGGTCAATATCCGAGTCTTGGATTTCTCACGCAATAATATCACTTACATCGCGCCGTATTATTTCAGGTAAAAATATAGTGATAATTTAATAACATTACACATTATGTCAATTTATTCATTGAGTTTTCGCTGTGAAAGCTCTAGTTAAATAATAATAGTATAATTGAAATAACAATTGAATTTCCTTTCATTAATAATAACAACTGTGTATATCTTATTTATTGTCAATTTCAGACACGCCGATCTAACTTTATCCGAGTTATATTTATCACATAACTTACTCAGAAATATCACAAGGGAGGTATTCGGATCTATGCTGATGCTTCAATATTTAGATTTGTCACACAATCAAATCTTTCACATGGAATATGACTGTTTTAAGAAAGTCAAGAATTTACAGGTAGCGACTTCCCATATTTATTGTTACTTATGCGATAGTTATAATATTAATTGTTACTTGTAGGTGGATACTCGGATACATTTGTTTTTAATTATTTTGTAGATAGTTTAAAATTTTGACCCGAAATCTACAATTTTTGTAATTGATTGTTTGTAAACACCATATTCAAAATTTGAATCTTAACTTTTAAATCGATTAAATCAGTTTAATGTTGTAGACGTGTTTTTAAAATCATTTCTTTTTCAGATTATCGATCTTTCGTACAATAACCTTATTGAAATGCCCATAGAGGTTTTCCACGAGATGTTAGCTTTGACTTCTGTGGACCTATCGGATAACAGACTAAGAAACATACTCGACAATCTTATAATTTCTCCGTCAATTGAGAGGTAACTAGTACGAGATGTTTATGCCTTTAAGCTCTGTCCTATTGACCACATAGCTTAATGAGATACTTAAAGATAATCTAATAATAAAGAAAATAATTGTTCATTCATGGAACACATTGGGCAATAATAACTTCTAATTCCCAGATTGGATCTTTCAAATAACGATTTATCCCGAGTACCGACGAACTGTTTATCTCACGCTGCTGCCGCTAATTTAGTTGAATTGGATTTAAGCGGCAACACTATACCAGCAGTTTCAATTACAGATCTAGTTCAAAGATTCAGGGTGAGTATGAAACCCGTCCTAATGCACTGTAACATTAAAATGCAAAGTAATTTCCGACATAACAAGTTGTTTGTAACGTAGTACCAATAATTGCTTGAACACATGTATTGTTTCCAATATCCAAATTCTAACCTGTAAAAATTTATGTAAATATTGAGATATGGAATTGTGATTGTGTAATTTTCCCTATATGTTGATATTGTAAACGTTCATTAAAATTTGAAAAATTCATCAAAATCGCTTATTTGCTTTACAAAAATTGAATGTCGCAAATGGATATTTTGAGATTTCTTATCAACACAAATACATTGTAGCGATTGGTACGATTGGCAAATAGACACATTTATTTACAAATGCGATGATTTCGGTTTCTGAAAAGCAAACAGGCGACGTTTGTTCCAGTTTATGTTTACTAATAACCGTAGCGGTATCTGCCAGTGTGTGCGTAGTTAATGCTAACTTGTGGCCTTGTACCCGCATGTGTTGCCAGAGCCCCGATCAGGACTACTGGCCCGAGGACCACGACGACTACAACGACGAATACATGTACCACACAGCTAGAAGGGATCACACGCGAGTGTTCCACCAAAAAAAGCAATTCCCGCAGAATATTCTGTACAAGGTAGACCGCTTAGACGATCCTGAACGGGTTAATTTTTTTCCGCGTTCGTTTATTTTTTTATTTCTATTGGATACACCGCTTCATTTCTCTAATTCAAATTCGCCTCATTTAGCATTATCTATAAATTTATTTTGCAATTTTATCGTCACGATTTCAAATACCCACACAATATCTTTGACAATAAGTTTTACTTTTGCATTGATCATTTCTCAACTATATTGTCTGTCCTCTAGTTGATTGCTTACAGCTCTGTCTTCTAAGTTAATCTTTTAGTTATTTGCACTGAAAGCTTTTGTTTAGTTGCAAAGTAAGTGGTTTTTATTTCATTTTCTTTTCTCAGCAATGTAAGTTTTATAAATATATTACTTAATTTTATTTTCAACTATTTGTCTTATGTTACAGTTTGTTTTTAGTAAATCAATAATCACGCGAATAGAAAAAAAAAATACTTGAGTGAGCGGTGTAATTTTGAGGTTGAACACCGTAACTTTATCTTGATGTTTTTCAAATTAATAAATATTTTTTTTTTAAATTACTAAAGATTAGAAGGAACTACTAGCGAGTATAAATTTTCCATCCGTATTTCATGATAATATAACTATGCTTCTCAGTCGCTAGCTTGGTTGGATTTGTCCAACAACCATCTGGTGCGCGTTGAAGGCGGTTCTTTCGGTGCATTACCAAAACTGAGATGGTTGGACCTAAGCAACAACTCGCCATTCAACCCAAGCGAGCGTGTGAACACCATGTTCAAGGGCTTAGAACGGAGGCTGTCTCATCTTGGACTGAAAAATGTTAGCTTGACGTCGGTAAGTGTTCCTAGGCCTTTTCATACCCTTTAAGTGTAATAGATAGGTCTACGCAACAATCTTCACTGTTGCACCCGTGGGCGGGTGCGTCCGGGGAAGTACAGGACCTAATAGAAGACCGGCTTGAAGTGGAAGTGTTACACTTTTGCGTTTCGTTTGGTGAGCGAGGTAGCCGGGGCGTACTTTGAAAGGTGTGGTATCTGCCACACTACAGGTGTTGCAAATTTCCATGGGCGGCGGTTTTCACGTACTATGAATCGCCAGCTCACTCGCCACCTTCAAACATAAAAAGTTAAGTGTGATGGAAGCTTATTTCCATTACACCTCATTCTTCAAAAGCTCTTAAGGTTTGTTTTAATGCGCTTTTTCTCTACATTCTCAACAATACATGATAATTATAAAAATAGTATGTAATCAATACAATTTTTCAGATCCCGTCCATGTCCCTCTCAAAACTTAAGAGCCTGGATTTGTCATACAATAACCTACCTTCAATATCGCCTGAAACTACAGCAAACCTGACGAGGCTCAGGGCTCTCGACCTTTCTTACAACGACTTTACAAAAGTTCCCGAAGCAACGCACTCGCTTACCAATCTAAGATGGCTGTCGTTGTCAGGAAACCCCATAACGGCGTTGAGGAACACAAGCCTGTACGGAGTATCACCCCGCCTAGAATATCTTGATGTAACACGCCTTCGATTAAACATTTTGGAGGTAAGTTGATTCGAACTTCACGCCAATTTTTTTTTTGTATGAGGTACTTGAACTAAGTTTAAATTTCCTTATTTTTAAATTTTGTCGCCCCTCCTGGTTAATTTTTACATGTTAAACTTATAAAAACGAGTTTCTTTTATGATATATATAATTTACCGCAACCTCAAGTGTATGGATACATAATGTTACTTTTAAAGTATTAATATTTTTAAAATATTAATATTTCTAATGTATATAAATAACTAATGTATTTTTGTAGCATGGTGTATTCAGCAAAATGTTTGGGTTAAGAACACTAAAAATTAACATCTATCCAAGCGTGAGAGATTTTAATATTCCACGTTTGCTCACCTACAATGTGGCTTTGGAAAATCTTGAAATTGAAGTGGATGACCCTCAGATAGACCTTGGCAAGGAGATGGCTGGTGATTTGCCTTGTAAACTAAACAACATAACATTACTTGGAAGATCTTTGAAATTTATATCTCAATATTTACTGAGTGTAAGTAAACTTTTTTTTTTTTAATGCGAAATGTTGTCAAACGAGCAGACGGTTCACCTGATGTTAAGTGAATACCGCCGCCCATGGACATCTGCCACAGACGAGGGTTACAGATGCGTTGACAACCTTTTGAAAACTGGGCTCCGGCTACCTCACTCACCAGACGAAACGCGAAAGTAATTGTCATGCTTCCACTTTACGCTGGTCTTCTGTGAGGTCGTGGTACTTACCCGGCCGGGCCTGCCCATTCGTGCAACAGCCGAGGCTGCTGCGTGGCCCTACCACCGTTGACTTTATTCTGACTTTATTATAATTGACTGAGCTAGTAGTGCGTTTATCATCTACGGTGAAATCGTCATATACCATCAAACGGGATTTTATCCAGCACCGTTTATTGCATGATAAGACATTCGTTTTAACATGTACCATAAGAACAAATTATTTCTTTTTATTTAGGGAGTACAATCAAAGGTCTTGCGGCTAACAATACATAACACCAGTGTTGAAGACATCGCAAGTGAAGTGTTTTGGAAGCCAGGACGTGTCAAGAACCTAACCCTAGATCTGAGATATAACGAATTAACAAGAGTTCCGAACCCAGCGCAGAAGGAATGGCCCGATGTTCCGAATAATGTGTTTCTTCACGACATATTGGTATCAGGAAACCCGTTGGCATGTGATTGTGGCATTGGGTGAGTAATTCGATTTATTACTTTCACGGGCATTTTTAGTAATTTAATAATAAAATTTTCTGACTTCTACCTGTAATTGATTGGTGACCTTTATAAAAATACGATAGTTATGTATAACCCTTGGTTAGGTTGACACATTCTGTCTTTCCTTGTTTTAAGTAAACAAAGAAAGACAAATTGTTAAAACGTTGATTTCAAAAGATCAGATGATCATTAATCATTCCAGTTCAAAAAATCTAGATGAGTCAGTAATTAGAACAGGTACAATTTTCTACACTATTTTAATGTTGGATTTCGATGAGAAATGTGTTTTGACTAATAAAGACCTTGGTTAAATCTTTCAGGTGGATAGAAGCTTGGGATCGTAAGAGAAGACAATATCTTTGTGATAGTCCTTCAAAATGCGTAGCAACACGCGATGATGTTAGATTTTCCATCTGTCCTTTGTATAGCAATCGGACATTAATTGACGTAAGTTTTATACTGCTTAAGATTTTTATTTCTTAACATAATTATTTTGTATTTATTATTACATTTGAGTATTCCCTTAAAAATTAATAGATATGATGCCTGGTTATTTGTTCAGCAAATACATGTTGCTTTGAATTAAAGATGTTATCGATAAAAGCTTAACTTTTTTGAAAATCAAACTCAGCTGGCCAAATAACACATACTAGTCGTCACCAATTGGTATAAATTCGACCGTAATTCATAAAATTCATTTTTTTTTTATTTAAAATTCTGTAAGCAATAGTTTGACCACACGATATTGAATTTTGCTTAACATTGTTAGTATCAACATACGTATATATATATATAATTAATGTTTTATTATAAATATCATATTTAGCTTTCTGCGCTTCTTTCTCATAAACATTAACTATACAAAATTTTACACTACATTATATCCTTCATAGGTGCAATATTCTCAAAAAGCCGATCCACTGAGTTTTAGGTTGTGTTATGTTTTTGGTAAAAAATCAGACCACTACTTGCTTGGCTTTAAGTTATTATAAGTTTATATTAATCGAACTTTGATTATACATTTCAGGTACTGTCAAAAGAATTAGATTGCAGTTGGAGTCGAGGATTTTTGACATCACCGAATTTCTTTATTATTTTGGGCATGTCTTTCTTGACATATCTTTACATCTGAGGACTGTTTTGGCTTCTAGGGATTTATGAAGAGTTTTATAGAATATTATCAACGGTATATAAATTTTAATTATGAGATGAAGGTATCGTACTATCCATCTCTGGAGTGAAGAATTACGCCACCTTAAGTTATTGGATTTTCTCTATAATTTCACGATTAAAATCCAGAAAGGAGTGAGATTTAGATAAAACAAAACTAAAGAGCAAATGGCAAATGTAATGAGGCCTACTAGCACCGCTAAAATAGCCAAATCCTAGTTAGTGTAGTGATTATACGAGAAAACCTAAGACTCTGTGAGATTTCTTGGTGGTGGATATTAAAAAAGAAATGTATGATAATTGATATAAAAGAAAGAATAGAAGCCTGTTAAATTGTGATTAAACTATATGAAGGGAAGGACATGATCTCAAGGGATTGAATCTACAAATATATTATTATTGTACTATGCTATATGAGTTTGTTCCCCCAAATATGTTGCTGTTGATTGTTTTTTTTTTGTACTTGTAAGAGGTTTTGTGTCAAAAATCTACACATTTTGTGCACTGCCCGATAATTATTCCATTTTATTGAATTCATTTGGCATTTTATGCAAAATGGTCAACACAAACTTGAGATCATACAATAGTTTAATAAGTGTGTGGAAGTGCACTTAATGTAATGTAGATATTGCATTTAATTCGAATTAAGATACGTTGAATTGAAAGCAATGACTTAATTATTATTCTCTAAGTAGACTGCATTCGCTCGAATGATATGTGTTCGTCCATTACTAATATTAACAATATAATTTATAGACTTACTTCTTTGTTCATTAGGCTTAAATAGTTATAAATCTATTGGATCAATTGTCAAAGTCCCGAGTTAAAGTTTCTCTGGTTAAAATTGACATTCATGCAAAATTTCCTTTTATACCTTTATTAATGTATTTTAAAAACATCGTTATATATTTTAACTGTTTAATTAATGTTATCTTTAATCGAGTCTATCGTTTTACTCCTTAAGATTACTGAAATGTATAAAAATTTAGAGAACTTGTTTTCTGTCTTTCAAAGTCTATCTGGTTATTAAATTTAAAAATATTTAACCTAAAAATTTAAATTGTACGTGTCCTGTACCTATTGTTGCGTCTATGCAACATGCTTTAAAACATCGTTTAATATTTAACCCAGTAGAACCAACCATATGGAGTAAATTAAACACCTCTATGCTTTAGATAAAAAATATTGTTCTAATAACAGAAACTTACTAATCTACATCTGGATAGTGTTACCTTACGTTTTATTTTTTAATTCCGTCTTCGGGTTTTACAACTAAATGTTTAGATGATCTTTGGAAATTTATTTTTTTAGCGAGCACGCTAGTTCTTCTTGACTGCACCTTAAATTTACATTTATTGCATGCAATAGAATTAGAAAAAATAATTCCAATAATTTTATTTTATAATACTAAAAGCGTGAATCAGATATACCTCTTCTTCAGTGGTCCAGTCTGAGTGTGGTGTCAGGCCTACTTTTAGACTTTTGTTTTCGATACCATTCCATTTAAAATACTCATAAATAATAATTAATTTTGGTTTTTGATTGTCTTCATTGTTTCCAGTAAAATAATCGTATAGGGGTAAGAATGTAATAAGACCATATAATCGGATGAATTTATTTTATTCTTTCAACTATGTAATCATTTCGTGTTCATTTTTGATGTTTAAAACATAGGATGCACTGGTATGGAAAACAAAGTCATGTCATTGTTACAATGAATATATTTTGTGATATATATTACTCTAATCCTTCTATTTTTGATAAGCCTACGATGAATATTGCTAGCCTGAATGGGAATTGTATAGCCGATAAAGAACTTAATCTAAAATAGACGCTCTTTAACTTTTGACCTAATAGCTCTTCGGATTAATTCTTCGTTTGAAACTACAATTTTTGCAATTAAACATTTAAAATTTCTAACTGTTCAAAATTTCCCTTAACTATTGTAGTTTTTTTATTACTTCAGATTAATAATAACTCGATTAGGAAAAATTATAAAAAGTTAAATCAAAATTTTCAAGATTAGGCGTTTTTCAATTATTCCATCATCGACAGAGTTTAACGTATTCATAGTTTATGCATTTGCAAATGTTGTAGCTTTAAAATGAATAGGAATGTATGATAGACCTGAAAGGACTTCATACGTTTACATTCCATTATTTACTTTACCATTGTAATGAACTTCAAAATAATGATTACGTTGACCCCGTTATTGGTGAGTTTGTTTATATTTAAAATAAATGAACTTTGTTTTTGTAAAACGAATATATCAATGACTGATGTACATTGAATTCTATTTCTATTATCTTGTTAATGCTTTTGCTTGAATGCAGTCAGTTTTAGATTAATAAAACTAAAAGAAAATATATTTAATATTCAGTACTTTATTCGTACGTGGTACGAAAAATACAGTATATTATAATTATTAAACATCGTTCGGTTAGATTTATTTTCACATATAAGACATATGAAAATTATATTAAAGCAAAACTATTTCTTCTTACACCCTAATTATATAGGTACTTGTTCAAAAATTACAAAACTTGCAATGTGTTCAAAATTTATTGATTTATTTTGATTACTAATCTGCGAGGTCCGAATGTGATAGAAATACATAAATAGTGCCAATGAAATGCTTTAAATGGAATCAAGTTCAGCGTTTAATGATAATTATTATTACTGTAATAAGATTTATCCCTTTGAAGGTATTGATTTTTTTTCTTTTCCCTGAGATGTTATTTATTTACCAAAGAACATAAAAGTTGCAAATATTTTCTGATACCGATAAGAGTCCTGAGAAAACCTGTTAAGTATCGATTTTGTAAATTCGTTATCCCGTTGCCTTTAATATGACCATGGTGAACATATTCATTAGTATTACTTATTTCTTATGATAGCCCATCGTACATGGGACATGTAATATGTTGTCAATAAGCGAAATCCATTAAAAATTTAGTTCTTTTATTGTATTTGTACAGTTTTGCTTTATTTTGATTGATTTTTTGTGTTAAGACTAATTCTTTATGTTAAATAAATATGTAACTCTCCGATCGGAATACCTCACTGAATTTAGATTTTGATTTTTTTCTATTCGAGGTTTGATTAACATGGACTTTATTAATATAATGCTAGAAATTACATATTTTTGAATATTTTTGCTTACCACAATCACTATTACAATTTAAAAGGGAACAATTATTTTAAAAAAAAAACAATTTGATTCAACCACTTGTTACTACATCATCTTCTTAAATTTATTTTTGTGTGTCCACATGATTTACCTTATACTATTTAAATTAATAAAAACTTTTGATTGGTCCATAAAATCATAAAGTGAAGAATGCTTTATTGAATATTTCTTGGTTTACTTCTATAGTTAATCAATCATCTAGAAAATTCTACATTAAACGGGCCATAGAATTTAACTTTTAACTGGCTTACCTTTTTATTACGAGCAAGCTAGTGTTTGGCCTTTCCCCAAGTGATGGTAAGTTGTGACCTAGCAGTAAAAGTAACGCAGTAGCTCAGTAAGTATTCATTCTTGCCTTGATCCTGAACAAAAGTGCTAAATCTAAGCCGCTGTAGTGTCAAGCCTTTGGTATAAGTCAATTGTAAAGGTTCCCGTGATAGGAGAAAAATGCCAGCTCTAGGTACCAATTAAGCCTTGTTTATAAGTCCTCGTTATTCAAATTATCACCGTTATTTATAAAATATTGCAAAATGAGGTTTAACGACATACAAAAAGAATGTGATTCAATGGTAACTGTTACCTTATTTACTACTCATTAATGATTCTTATAGTGTGGATATGATAAAAATTGAATTATTAGTGTATGAATAAATTATTGGATAAATCATTTTGAGTTTATTTTTCAACCCAGCTGTATTGATGTGTTAACGTTTTTAATCAACAAAGCTGACAATTATCCAAACGATTTTCATGATATTAGCAGATTGAGGACCACTGTTCATTGACACTTATATCGACATTTGCAACACGCGTAGTGTTGCAGATGTGTTGCCACCTCATAATAAATTGGGCTCCGGCTACCTCATCAGATGAAACGCAGCAGTATAGCACTTCTATTTCACGCTGATCTTCTGTGAGGTCATGGTACTTCCTCGGACGGACCTGCCCATTCTTGCAACAGCGGAGACTGTTGCGTGGTCCTACCATTATTAAATCGGGTTTTGTGGCTCCGTAGATATTTCCGATAGTGATGATGCACCAATATTTGCCGTATTTTCGCATTTGCCAACTTTAAGACTTTCATTTGTGTATGTCTACTGCGACATACAAAGAGTGCAACATCTTAGAAAACAGTAAAAAAGAAAGTTTAACTTATTATAAGTAAGAACGCTGCGTGATAGAGTTCACAAAGAAAGGTTCTCCTCAGGTAGGAAAGCCCCGCACGAAATGTAGGGATGACCTACGCAAGTGTTCGGGAAGTCGATGGAGTCACCTATACAGGGAGATTTTTAAGAAGTGCCCAAATTTACGCAGGAGGTTTAGACTCGGTATTATAATCGTTTATTGAAATAAAATACAAAGTTTTTTTTCCAAAAAAAATGCCATTCTATTCCCTAAAAAACAGAACGTGTTGACAATGCGGTAGTCATTCATAAATACCTAAATTTTACTGTGCACGAACTTGTGTGCATGTTAATTATGAATGATCGCGCGTAAAATAAATGAGTTGCGTATAAATGACCCACATTTTGAGATAAGTTCAAATGAATGTAATTAATTACTTACGAGTGATTTTAAACATTTATCATTTTTATATAACATTATTTATGTCTAGGATTTAATTAAAAAAATGGATACACTTAGAAAAGCCACCCTGTAGATGGCTTAAGATCGTGCTTGGCGGCGGTCTTTGGTCAATGTTCACTATTGTATTCAAACAGGCCGATATGCTAATGATGATGATGAATTAGATGACTCCGTGGCGCAGTGGCCAAGGTAGGTTCGGTAAGCTTCGGGGTTCGATTCCCACACGGGACAACTATTTGTGTGAACCACAAATAGTTGTTTCGCATCTGGATGTTTATCCACGTGAAATTTTTGTTTGTAAAAACACCCTTACTTTAGGATAATATTATCCTAAAGTAAGGACAATGATTAAAAAAAAAAGAAAAAATAATAGATGAATAATGAACTTTTAAAAATTACAAAATCATGTTCTGAACTGCTTTTATGGTTTCTTTAAATATATCTTTACATTTTCAAATACTGATTTAGGGGTGACGATTATTTTAAAAGCTGAATATGATGACTATTTTTGTAATATCATTAGGATACATAACATATTAGGATACATAACAAAGAAATTTCATAAATAATATTTATTATTATAACTCTTGTTTATGAATTTGTTAACACCGTTAGAAAAAATAAAAAATGTTTTTAACTCTTAATTTCTATTTAAAAAATATTTCAACACGTCAATAGAAAACTTTATTGGAACATCAAGCGAAAGACTTCTTTCGATAAAGAAAAATTTATTTCATGTAAATCTATGGCCACTCTTCGAAGAAAGTTTTCTCCAAATTTACATACTCATTCCCGAGTCATACAAAGCCTTTGAGAAACATCCATATCGCAATCTCACAACCAACATGTCTCAACAAAGTTATTTATTGGCTCCTCGATTTGCATTGTAGATATATCAATCAACAAAGTTCTGAGATAAAAATTTTGTAGGTACTGTTTCTCCTATATTTGGCCGGCTACATAACTCGATGCTGACCTAAATAAATTTCACATTTTGTCTGGTGAATAAGGTAACTAGAACCTACTTTTTTTAAAGGTTGTCAGCGTATCTGCATGTCCTCAGGTGTTTTTTTTTTGGCAATTGGCTCATTGTCAATTGGCTCATTTGACAATATAATAATAATTTTACATAAGAAAAAAAACAACATTCGAAATTTTTTAATTAATACAATTAATATCAGTTTTTACTTTTTTAATTTAGTACTTTAGCAAACTGTGGTAAAAGCTCTGTTACGGCAATAATAAAATTATTAAGTGCAAATTTTAAATATAATTAAGATACTACTTATTCGATGGCTGTGGAAAACTTACGGACACCAGGCAGGGTTCTGAGTGATTCATCATCATCATCATCATTTCAGCCTGTTTGAGTCCACTGCTGAACTTAGGCCTCCCCCATAGACTGCCACGAAGTACGATCCTGAGCCACCTGCATCCATCAACTTCTGGTAAATTTGCACAGATCACGACTAGAAGAGAAGAAATATACCTTCCACTAGTAAATGTTGGTGAAGCTTATAGTTAAAATTAATTTTTTTAAGTAAAATAAAAAAAAATCCACTCACTCTTTGAAGTCCTGTATTATATGACATTTACATAATATGTATATATAGCATTTTAATATGATTTCCTTAGAGAGGCGAAAAGATGTAATGTGTGTGGCTTTCCTGCACAAATTGATTACTCATGAACTGGACTGTCCGTCTCTCTTGCATAATATTAACATTAATATTCCTAGGATAAGTGCAAGGATACAAAATTACAAACCTTTTCACCTAAAAACAAGTCGAAATAAATATGGCATGAAAACACCTCTAGCAACTGCATTAAATGTTTACAATGTTCTCTTTCAGAAATGTGATGTAGATATATATTCTGAAAAACTGCACATATTTAAGAGAAAAATATATACACATTTCGAATAATTTTATAATAAGTTAACCTAAGTATTGCTAAGTTCAAATTTATAATTTCCCAATTTTCCTAATTTTCCTAATTTCGTTTTTTTTTCTCAGAGATAAAAGATTTTTTTTTTGTACTTAGGTTCCTGTTCTATATTTCAAGTTTGTTTTGTAAGTGTTGTGTTTACCTGTAATTTAAATATGTACATATATTGTTTACGACTTTAGTATTAAGTTAAACATATTTACATTTCAATGTTCTGTATGTATTTAGTTGGTAAGCCTTAATAAATAAAATAAAAAAAATAAAAAAAATAAAATATGTCACAATGATCGTATACGAAACAAGATGGAAAAATAAATCCCTTATAAATATGTGTTTGATGAGTCTGTGGCGCAGTTTCCAAGGTAATGGCTTCAGCGTCAGGGTTCGATTTCCACACGGGACAACTTTTTGTGCGACCCACAGATAGTTGTTTCGTATCTGGGTGTTTGTCCTCGTGCAATTTATGTTTGTAAAACGTAATTACAACACAGGATAATGTTATCCTAAAGTGAGGGCAATGTTTTAAAAAAATATATATATAATACGTACCTTCCATCAATCCATAAGCGAACTAAAAACTTTCAGTTCGAAAAAGGCTTTTGCCTTACAGTTAAGCATTATACAGCGTGTCGTTACCATCGCGACAATAAATGAACACACCTCTAACGCTACTTGCCAATAATCATAAAAAAATATTAACGTTAAACAAAATCCAGAATTAAAAAAAATATTTTTCAAACAAACTAATTAAGTAAAAAAGAAACAAAATTTGTAACATCCTATACAACTCGCGCCTCAGCGTCGCATTACAAGCCTCTCCTTCTAACAGTATGTTTTGTCTCTTTTAAATTCATTCAACCCATTCATATGCTTTGTGACCTTTACAAATGAACTTTACATTACAGTTTTATATGTAAGGGTGTTCTAAAATTATTTGTTTTGGAAAATTTAACAACTCTGTAAATATTGATGTTTGAAGAATGTAAATGTTTAATACAATTTTTTAAATTTATCCTCTATATATGTGTTCATTTATTATCGCGGTGGTAACGACACGCTGTATACTTGCACACACTTTATCCCATTTTTATTCCAGTAACCGGTACAGGTATAATTTTAATTAATTGCATTTTATCTTACTGCCGGCTGAGATGACCTTAACAAATTTATGGAATTGTGAAGGATCGATAAACAACTAACAAAGCAACAAACTACATGTTAAAATACACCTACGCAATAAAGAATGAGCGAGGCACCCCGCGGCGAAGAAAATGAATTGACTGACGCTGTCGGTCTAATACCAAACTAAATATAACTTAATCATTGTCTGTCGAAATTGCTTAACGCAGTTATATGCTATTAAGCGTTTTGCCGTATATCAGGGTGAGAAAAGGTAATAACAATAATCGGACAATAAACGGATCAGTTCAAAAAATGGATAACATGGATGTGGCGAAAATCTTAATATTGCTCATAGTTCTTCTTCTTCCTCCTGCCCTTATCCTACCTTTTTTTTGGTGTCGGGGGGAAATATCCTTTTCCTAACTAGTAAAGGGTCGGCACAACATGTGTAACATGTTATTAATGTTTTAGCCGATTTTTACGATCTGTCGCTTGAGAACAAACTTATAGACCCGGAACAATTATCTGTCGATCTTCAGCACCGAAGGCAGTATTTTAGCAACTGTGCCACTGACAAAATGTTTATTGAGAAAGATCAACTTAATTAAAACTCATAGTACAGTTATATACACAATTATAATACATTCATTTTAAAAGTTCAAACATCAGATTGACTCACATTCACGATTGTGAGTCAATCTGATGAAGTAGGCTTATTAATAATTTACACTCGAATATATTTTGAAAATCATGATGGAGTGATGTAGAGCATAAAATTTACTGATGATGTGCCACCGTCGTACCATAGCTTGCATTCAACCGCTATGGATATACCAAGAGTGAAATCAGAGATCTGCATTGCAAGTAATGGAGATCTGTCTTCCATGTTCAGGGGAAATATTGCCGCATCGATACCCGGTGGATCCGGGAAGTAAGAGATTTTCCCAATATGTTCTTTATCGTATTGATGGTAGCCATCGCAGTTCATCATCAGTTTGCCTTTCTCTGATTCCAACACCTGTTTCAGCTGTACGGGAACTTCTCGGATGTTCGTCGAGTTCGTATCTACAGGCTTCACTGTCCATCCAAGCTGTTTGTTCACTCTTATTATAATGCAAGGCTCATCTCCGTAACCATAAGGTTGCCTGCCGCAAGGACCTAAATGGGATTTTTCTACACTTGATAAGTTCTTCTTGTCCATAAGCAGTTCATCAATGGCCTTAATGTATTTCTGATAGTCATTTTTATCACCGCTCTTATACCAAATCAACGGTAAGTTGCTCACGCTCGTTGGCGTTGCAGACAACCCGATTCCATGATCGGCATACGTTAAAAGTTCAGTCTTTTCAATGGCATGATAGTCCCCATTCATTTTAATCACTGAGAGGGTAGCGTATAAAATCGCCATTGTGTAAGTACTCAGGAATAAAATGTACATAACGGAATACGCCACAATGTATATCCAGCTTTTGCACGTCCTTCCGCACACTGTACCTTCCTGTTTGTTGTAAAGGCCTTTGAAGAATTTTCTATAACAGGGTTCCGACTGCCTTGAATGTTCCTTATTCACAACCACCGCGTGTGTTGCATCTTTAGATGTGGACGGTACTGCGTCTCTGTTTGATTTAGATGACTGTAGCACTTTCTTGTGACCAAATAATTTTTCTTTCTTTTTAGATTCCATCTTTAACGAACATCTACTGCTTATCAATATTATTATCATAATCAAAGCATAACTGATAGGAACACATTTTGACAGCCAATTGACATTTCCTATAGCATTCATATCAGCGTGGCTGTGATTTTAACGTTTCATTGGACGTAAGTATTTTATTGCAAATGGCATACCCAAAATAAAATAATAAGGAAACAAAAATTCGATCTAAAATCTTTCATTCTCAAAAATTGGGACCAGGAAATATAGATAAAATCTTATCCTTTAAACGAGCAATTCTTGTATATATATATATATATAATCGGAATCTCGGAAACGGCTCCAGCGATTTTCATGAAATTTAGTATGTGCGTAGATTCGGGAGCGAAAAATCGATCTAGCTAGGTTTCATTTTTAGAAAATGTCCTTTTATCCCTGTTTTCAGGGAATGAAAAATATAATTCGAATATGACGGTATATTTCGCCGCAAGAGAAAATGTCATAATAGCTCGGTCGGTGATCGGGCGGCACCAAAACAGACGGCCGTGGTTCGCGTCACGATTTATTTTTTACACATTTATTTTTTTACTTTTTTTTCGATTCCAGATCATTGCTTTCTTTATTTTTAATTTTTTATCGATTTGTTATTTTCTTATTTTTTCCCTTTTTTTTAAAAGTTCTTTCTTTTGTGAAAAACATCAGTTCATATTTTCTTATTATTACGTCGGTAAGATCGAAAAATATTTTGCATATTTCATTACTCAGTAATTTGTATCTAAATGTAATTTCCCAAAATACACGATTTACCAAAAAAAAAAAACAAACCGAGCAAAGCTCGGTCCTCCGGGTACTACTAATGAAAATGATACATTCTTCTTCAAATTAGAAGTTAAAACTTCACAGCCCGCTTTCATTTATTCATAAGGTTAATCAAATTTTTTTCACACATGTATTCAAATAGCAAATCTTCTCATGAAAATACCTTTACGATACCTATGATGATAATTGTCTAAAACTTTATGGCTAAAAGTCGCAAGTTGTTAACTAAATCATTTATATCAAGCACATTTATCAAGCACAAATCATTAACTTAGGTTAATGTTTAATCGGCCCTGTAGTCTCGGGCTCGTAGAATAGAGCTAAGGTATCCCCTGCCTGTCGTAAATGGCGACTAAAGGAGGACAGTACGAAGTGGTCTCGTGCTGCTGCAAGACGGCGAGGGAATCGGGGAAGATTTATCCTTCTCCGAGGCGTGCTCACGCGCAGTACTGAGGGACACCGATGCGTTCCGTAGGAGCTCCCGGAGTCCCTTCAAAGGTACAGAAGGTGGCCACTGAGGGGGTTTTAGTGGGTACGAACCCCACATAACCCTGTCATATCATGACAGGGTATCTTTTGAAGATTTCCCCCCGATACCAAAAAAAAGGTTAATGTTTAATATCCTTAAGAGATGATCTGGCGGCATTAGACAATTTTTGGATAATGATTGATTTGCAACTACTTACTTTGTTATGATTAATATAACTTGTTTAAGTAACATTTACAGCAGTATTAAACATCAAAGTCATATGACTATCATCAAGTAATGACAGGAACTGCGCCTAAATCCCAAACTGACAGGTGATAAGTTTGTCGCGGTATATAGAACAAAAACTCAAATAATAGAGAAACAACACGACAATTAACAAATATGTAAGGGAATATCTTATCTTAAGAGCTAGGCTCATTTTGTTGCAGCATCCTAGTAGACATCATAGGTTGCTGCTGTTTTAAGGAATTGAATTGTGCAATAGTTTCCTCCTTGCTTTTCGCAAGCTAGTGTGGCGCCTTCAGATGTTGTTCAAGAGCCCTACCAGAATTATCAGCTTCCTTCCAATACTGACACTGCTGCTGCCCAGTATCAGGAGAATGCTTATTTGTGTGGCGGGATTTGCTAATCACATCACAGGGCCGTTTTCGGGCTTGCAGGATTTTGAAGGTAAGCTGTCCCACTGTGCCTTCCCCTACGCCATAATAGCCTTGTCGCTGCATGGTTGGGGACTGCTTATTCAATATATTCACAGCTAATATATAAATATGAAATAGTATGGAAATATTATAAGCAATATTCCCTTTTAAACGATAATGAACAAGAAAATAAATCATTTATACTTTTTTTTTTAAATATACAGTTTTATTACATGAATCATTGAGGAAAATTTATAAGCTGTTTAAAAGAAAATAAAAATATTACATGCAATTACAAGATATCTAAAATTTGTGAGAAACTTTATGTTACAGAAATTGAAGCAATAATATTAACTGGAATTGCAATAAAACATCAATAGCATGGGTACAGTGTTATCAGTAACAGGCGGGATCAGTGTCATGAAATGTCTAAGATTGTGGGATAGTGCCATTTGCTGGGTTCAGCGTCCCTCAGGGCTTACATTTACAGCGATAGTAGAATTTACTGTCTACAACGAAGTAAGCAATTTCCAAACGGTCACAATGAAATTTAATGTCACAAAATGTGAAACGTTTGAAGACAATAGCATATGCGTTTATACGCGAAATATAAATCACCCAAGAGATCTCTCAACTAAATATATGCTGAAAATGTTCGATGAATGAGATAAATTGTCCATTTGATTTCGTTTAAAAATAATATATTCTATTTATAAATTAAGTTGTTGGCCACGGCGTAGGTCAATTGGATTTCCACTTATGCATTATCGGCAGGCTTAGTGTAAAGGTCCGATTTTTTTTCTTTATCGGATGTTCTTGCTTTCAGTCCGAAGACTATTAAAGCTGCATCAATCAAGTGAAGACGAAATTATATTTGCCTTTGCCATCAGAAGGTTGGAATAGTTGCGGCTCTTTCGATTAACCGCTTGGTAAAGTCTTTTAACTGCAGTCCGTTTGCAGGTTGTATTCTGGCGGCCCATCGTACAACTCGACCATTTACCATCGACACCACCTTGATGTTTGCACCGTATATTTAAATGAGAGATTACTGTGGTAGTCACGCAACAGCTTTTGCAAGAATGGACAGGCTATTCAATGAAAGTGCCATCTCTACCCGTTCGTAACCTGTTTTCACGTTTCACTGGCGAGTGAGCTAACAGACTTTTTTTGAAGGTCGGTAACGCATCTGCAACTCTTACTGGTTGTAGGTATGTATACTATAATAGATCTAGTTCGCAATGGTCGTTGGGATTTACTGCCCTTCCCCATCCACACAAACTATAATTACATCGAACACATTAGCGGTGGTAATTGCTTAATATCAGATAAACCGCCTGTTCGTTAGCTAATTTTTCACGATCGGTTACTAACATCTGCTTTACATTTTTCTACGGCCAGTCCAAATCATCTTTCTTGAATTAAGTACAATAATTAACTACTTCAATTCAGGGATGTCGATACCTCTTAACGTGATATTCGTCTTTTTAATTTTTTATAGTGCTTATCTTTGAACTTAAGATGAGACATTAAAATTTGTAGAAAAAAGGGCGAAAAGTTTCTCATCGCTGCGGGACTCGAACCCAAGTCTTCCGGATTTGCGCCCAGGCGCTTTAACCACTAAGTTAAACGGCTTAATAACACACCGACAAAAATATCAACGTCTTTTAACTACATAATTTTTTCGCATTTTCAGAAATGCGAAAAAATAATGTAGTTAAAAGCATATTTTTTCAGTGTAAGTTAATTTGTTTTTATTCAACTATGGATGTTGTATGAAACTTTAATTTCTTTTTACAATAGCAATCTCTGCAATTTAGATAGAACAACAAAATTTGTAGAAATGTCAGTGCAATCGTTGATTAAAATGCGAAAAAACATTGTAGACAAAAAGAAGTTGAGATTTACATCGGAGTTTCCGTGAAACGGCAACGCGATATAAAGTAAAAAACACTAACCCGATCCACGCCACCCGATCCACGCCACCCGCGAAATGAACTGATCGGCTACGCTAAAAAGTATCGATGAAATACCTTACGATTACTGAAATTGACCGCATTACTCTAATGTAATATCGTACATAACAAGATGTTAGATGTCATACGAGTGGACCAGGAGTGTATTTGCGTTACGATTCTCCTATTCCTATTTCGCTTCAGTCGCCCCTGAGGCTTCAGACCGGACGCTTGTGTCCTCCGATCTGTTGAACGTGAACTTACAACCAAACATGTTACGTACGACGGACAAGTTATAGAATATTTTCAGTGTACTTTTCGTGGATATGATTTGAATATTACATTTCATGCCTGGTGAGTTCACAATTTTTTGGATATATAACAAAACGAATCTATTTGCAGATTATTTAAATGTTTATACATAAAAGTCGCGTGTTTTATCAATTTTTTTGAAATTAAGAGCGGTCAAACTCGCGTTAAAATACGACAGAACTTAGTTTTTATTAATCACCTAAATATTTTTATAGATTTTCAATAAAATATTATAACAAAAATAAAAAGTTAATCTTTAATATTTATTTATTGATTTATAATGTTATATTTTTAAACATATGTAAAGTTTTAAACTTCAAACAGAAATGGTCATTCTCAGGGATGTCGAATAAGACTTATTCAGTATTTAGTTCGTTCATCTGCAAAGTTCAGTCTTAAAACTTAACTAAGAAAACGAAAAAGAAAAAACTTACTGATACAACATCACTAAAGATAAATTAAGTAAATGATAGTTCAGACCTAACTGAAGTAAATATTTGAATATTTATGCACCGCCTTTTTTTATGTGAAAAGTTGCCAAGCGAGCAGACGGTTCACCTGGTGTTAAGTGAATACCACCGCCCATGGACATCTGCTACACCCGAGGGTTCCAGATGCGTTGACAACCTTTTTAAAATTGGGCTCCGGCCACCTCACTCACCAGACGAAATGCGAAAGTATTATACTTCCACTTTACGCCGGTCTTCCGTGAGGTCGTGGTACTTACCCGGACGAGCCTGCCCATTCGCTGCTGCGTGGCCCTACCACCGTAGCCTATTTATTCAATCAGTAAATACAAATTTTATCATATACTCAAATCAATAGTAAAGCTCTCTAACCTTAGAAAATGATAAAGCTTACATATTCAACAAATAGCAGAAGTTTAATAAGACGCCTCTTATCTACGTTTGTTCCCATAGTTACGACTTAATCCATCAAAGGATAGCTAGATAAAAGAACTGATTTTTGATCTTGTTATAGAAAGGATTACCAAAAGATGAGTAAACAAAAAAGCATATTTAATACATTGTTACCTTTTTATATCCCGTTACAAAAACTATGCATGATGTGTTTATATCTTTAGTAAAGGTGAAAGTATTAAGTGGTGCAAGTAAAACTATTCTTAATCCTGGAATTATATATTCGTTCGAGTTCTACAGAAATTTGTAATTTGGACGATTTTTTCAAATAATCCTCTGTATGAAATGTGTTTCACCTCGGTCACTGGGAATCATATTTTTCCTGACAACTACTGAAGTTATTGGAGGTTTTTAAAGAAAAACATTCTTTCACGTTTACTTAAATTTTTAATTAATTTTTATTTTAATTTTTTTTATTTTTTTTATTTGGGGTGAATTTGAAACTAGGAGACAACTAGCCTCATAAGTATCGCGAGCTACTGTCAGTGTTTCGAACATTATTTAGTGCCATGATCGAAACGCTGACAGTAGGAATGTATAAATTTGTATATACTGATATGTTTCATTAAGATAACGCACACGGCAAATTTTCTTATTAAGTTAATGGTATCGTTTCGGTAAAATCGTTTTTTTAAGAAAAAAAAATGAATTACAAAAAAAGAGGATACCTACGAAGTTTCTTTCGACTGTTTCTTCTCCGCTAGAGGAACCTCATTACGAAACGGTCGTAGATTAAAAAAAATATGACTATCGATAGATGAAATGTAAGTTTCTTATGTCGATGAATAAACTGATTAATAATAATAGAATAAACTGAAAATGATTTAGATTTTTTTTTTGATTTTGATAAAAATGTTAAATTAAACAAAGCTTCTAATGAAATGATTATTTGTATTTCCGAACATGAAAATCATGACCGAATTATGCCTTACCTGTTCAAAAGCTATATTAGGAAGATCGAATACCAAGATATGTTAATACAAGAGACTATTATGATGTATAAGTAATTTGAAAAGAAAGTCCAAGGAGATGAAACATTAAACGTGTCTCGAAAAGAAAGACCTCCTTTTGAAGACACATTTAAATATTTCATCCCCGTCTCATCCCGAACTACGAACAACTTACAACTTCTTTTATGTTATGATTTTCCAAAGTTTTAATAGTCATTCCCAACCAGTCAAATACTAAAAAAATAAGAAAGTAGAAATAAATAAGAAAAGACTACAATTGATAATTCTAGGTTGTATTGGCCGTTGGGACTTACGATGGATGGGGTTACCCACATGATACAAAATACAAAAAGAATGACAATCAACATAAAATTTAAGATCTTCAGTAACATTAATTAGTCCACTTACAAATTGAAATGTATAACTGAAGCTTTATTGAGCAAACTTTTTAAGAGGTATGTAACGAAATGATGGGACTGGACTTGACAACCATTATAACAAGATATCAAAGGAAATAACTATTTTGAAAGACAAAGAAAGTAACAAATCAACTGAGATTTATGTGACATGTAATGCAGCACATGTTTGAATTTCACACAAGATTTAAAATAGAAGCATTCATATAGTTCATTTCCCAATGCTATCGTATCATTTTATTATTTAAATTAACCTATTTGATAATTTTTTTTTAATGTGAGCAGTGTTAAGCGAGCTAAGTGATAAGCGGGCGAGTTAAGTGATAACCATCACTTGGACATTTGCAACACCCGGAGAGTTGCAGAGGCGTTGCCACGTTCTAATAAAGTGAGCCCTCTCACTCACCAGACGAAACGCAGAAGTATAACAGTCCCACTTCACGCCCGTATTCTGCGAGGTCGTCGTACTTACCCGGACGGACCTGCCCATTCGTGCAACAGTTGAAGCTGTAGCGGGGCCCTACCACAGTTGCAAATGTTTTTAAAATTTAAAATTTTTAGTTTTCGACCGAATTGTTTGGTTTAATAATAAATCTTCGTTTCAGAATAAAATGGTTGCTGTGGTTTTATACTTAAAATAATCGTCTCTTATCTGAAATTGCAATTTCTAAAACTAATGGTCTAATCCAAGTGGTGTTCCGTTCCATTGAGCTAAAAGGATGAACTGAGTTTGCTCATATACACGATTACATTACCTCATACAAATATTTATTAATTTTACGTGACCTGTATGTGATGTGATGTGTATACCATGTAATTCCAGTAGTAGTGTGTAAGCTATAATTACATCCATGGGCGGCGGTAATTGCTTAGTATCAGATAAAGATTAGTAAAGAGAAGAGGAACACAATCTTAATAGCCACAGTTAATGGAAGAAATTGGTATGTTACGGGTCTTTAATAAAATGTATTAATAAGCTCTGTAGATACGATCATCTATAGAGATCATCTACATTCTTTCCCCCAGATTGGCGGATTAAATTTGTCCTGAATATTAAATAAATATATTATATAATATTATTTGACTACCGAAGTACATGAAATTAGGGTTAAGGATTGCAAAAATAAATCAAAATGAACTCCCAACGTTTTAAGAGTCAAAAATAGATAATACAAAAGCGTAAGTAACTTTTTCGAAATATATCAATTTAGGATATCGATGTTGTTCATCACAGTTCATCCTAACTTATACGGACAGAAATAGTTCAATTTCTCGTGAACGCAATACACGGAGTTCAATAGCTTATTTTAAAACGAATTTAAAAGCAAGACCTCGGTGGTCGAGGTGATAGATTTCCAACATTAATTATATTTCAACAGCGTTTCATCACAGAAAATTACTCTTAAAGATAGTCAATAGAATTAATGGTTATCTTAACAAAGGTATTAACCGGAAACAAGTTAATTCACCAAGATAAAATAATCACCGATTGCTTTATTACCACCATTATAACATTTAATCAACTCGTTGTTAATAGACTAATGAAAATATTAAATTTTGTTTAAAATTTTCATAAAAGCTAATTGTACAATTTGAAAATAAAGATATACAGATTTTAGATACAATAGATTTTTCAAAATACATATAAGGCTAATATTACCGTCTTCCATAGACAAGCTTAGTTGCATGCACTTTTATAGAGAAACTTCAACATATTACGTCACGGGCTTTGCGTACTTTTATATCTTTTACCCCTTTCATTTATTTATTTACCCCTTACCTTATTTATCGCGTCTTATCGAAAAGACACAAATAAAAATGTGCCAAAGTTTAAATTACTTCTGAGCGCTTAACCCAGACGACCCTCTTGACCCTGGAAGCATTTCGGCAATTTTCTACTAAAATCACATATAAATTTCATTATATCATGATGAAAATATTATTATGATACTACAATTATAATGATACTTTACGATGAATAAAACAAAACTATTGATTTCAATGATAAAAGATTTGTGTAATTCGGAAATGTAAGAAATGAAATGACAAAGTATGAAGTACCATTTTACCTACTTACAACTGAAAAAATAAAATAAAAAGCATAATTAATTAACCAAACATTCATATTTCTCCCCAGTTTAAAGCAGTTGAATACAAATGCATTCTTCTTCTTTTCGTGTCGATGGCATTACCTATTTACACGATATCGGCCCAAAATTCAGCATTAGTGAACTGTTTCAAGAAAAATTAAATCCACAAGCTTTTGGAATGCTTTTGGGTGACCTCTGTAGATGGCTGTTTCTACGGTGTTCATGTTGTGTCTTAGTAATGACCTATAAAGACTTAATTTATCTTAATATTTACCAATCAGATATTTTATCTTTATTGTCCTTTAACAACAACGAACGCAATCTACAAACATTTTATTCACATTTTATTAGACACAGGGACGTTATTAAATACATTTATGAGGTCATGTTATTCGAAACAAGCGCCATGGGCCTATTTTAGTATGTTGTTTTAGGACGTGATAGCTTTTGTTTTGCGAATGCCGTGGTGGCACTTGAAGCATTAGACAAGATGGCTTTTACAGTCCGAAAAACAATTTATATCATTTAGAGCACGGGCTGGTAATAAAGTTGAGTGACGGAGCGTTTTTAGTCGTAACTCCTGTGATTTCCGTCGGAACTTCGTATATAAAAACACTCTACTGTTCAATTGCGATGTTGTGAACAAATATCAATTCAATCCATGAG